AAAAAAAAAACATGTCATAGTTTAATAATATATGGTAATACGCATTGTAGTTAGATCTGACTTCTGATAATCTGATATATTCACAAAATCCACGAAATCCTATTTATTCGTATTGAATAATTAACTGCTATTTATTAGCTTTAACGATAGTAAATTCTGCGAATTCAGATATTAGTACCTATATGTATAGCTTTGGCGTTTTTCAGGATTTTTCGCGACCATATTTTGTATATTAATGTTATAGGCGTTATAGCATCATGGGATTACGCACGGAATAAATTTAGTTCCAGTTTATACCATAGCTAAATTGATTACAGTGTTTATTACATATATATTATATTAATTAACATATTCTCAGTTGGAGAGCCAAATTATTTAAATATTCGTCTATGAACTAGTTATAAGAAATAGTAAACCAAAACCAATTTTATGATAAATACAACTGAAGTCGGGGACACGAAATGTGGTATGTAACCAACATGATCCTAACAGTAAAATCGTCAAATGTGTTCACAAATTTCTAAAACCATTGTCATTTTAAAAATACTTTCATATAATTCAATAAAAACCAAAACAAAAAATCGTAACCKATGTAAGCAATTGAAATTAATACCATCTTATAATTTTAAAGGTTTATTTTCGACATTAAAATATACGAAAGTTCTTAGATAAGTTTTTATTTGTACAATTATGTCAAGTTCTATTACTAGTATTAAAGTATCCATTATTGACTATTGTTTGGTTATTGAAATCTATACAAWATACATAAAGATAAAAAATATAACATAGGTACTTGGTACTTAACATAGTTACATAAAATAAATTATATGAAAAATTCATGATTTACGATTACGTTTATAGTTTTATAGCAACCGGTCAAATGAAATTGAATATTAAAAGCATATTTTATTATTTAAAATATTTATATAGCTACTTATTATTTTGTACACGTACAATTATAAAAATGTAATTGAACAATACCAAGAATTTAGGTACTTTAACTTAGAAAATATTTTATTTTCTATTGATAAGGTTTAAAATAAGCCATTGTTACCTATTTAAGAAGTGTACATTACAATACTGGATCTTTAGTGTTTTTTCTGTTCATGAACTAGTTGGAGAAACTCAAGCAATAAACACTTCTACAGTTCTACCTACATTTTTTTAAAACCTCCATAGGTAAGTGAAATATTTTGAAAAATGTATCAAATATTTAAATATTTAATATTGGTTAGCTTATTATGAATCGTATGTTATTTATTTTATATAAGTAATTAATTAATTACCAATCGAATTTTATTTAAAGATTTTTTTTAAACAAAAATTGAATTTTGATTTAACTATTATGAACGATATGCTACCATAATATAGTTAAATTAAAATTGTCCACAGCAAAGTATTGCATGCATTACTTAAACGAACAAATTTAATTTTTAAATTGATACTATTTTTGTTTATAGAAATGAATACTATCCGTTTATTTACATTTATATTGACCGTCACAACGTTGACGTCAGGATATGTCATAAAACGTTTAAAAGACAATGATTTCACATCAGTAACTAAACTATCAACAGAAGCCCCGAGCGTTGCAAAAGTACCGGTTTCTACAGTCACTTATTATTTATGTTATGCATACACTAAATATATTGGTCCCTGCTCTTGTGATACTTATAGTACAATTATTGTAAAAGGCTTTACAGCTGATGATCTCGAAGACGTCTCTACTAAATCCACAAACACCACAAGCATCACAAATGAGCCTCAAACTACAACTATACTGGATTTCACAGCTGATAATTTTGAAGACGTCTCTACTAAATCTATAACCACTACAAGCATCACAAACGAGCTTCAAACTACAACTGTACAGGATTTTACAGCTGATCATTTTGAAGACGTCTCTACTAAATCTACAACCACCACAAGCATCACAAATGAGCCTCAAACTATAACTGTATCGGATTTTACGGCTGATGATTTTGAAGACGTCTCTGCTAAATCTATGATGATCCCAAGCATTACAAACGAGCCTCGAACTACAACTGTACAGGATTTTACAGCTGATAATTTTGAAGACGTCTCTACTAAATCCAAAACTACCACAAGCATCACAAATGAGCCTCAAACTACAACTGTACAGGATTTTACAGCTGATAATTTTGAAGACGTCTCTATTAAATCCAAAACTACCACAAGCATTACAAATGAGCCTCAAACTACAACTGTACTGGATTTCACAGCTGATAATTTTGAAGACGTCTCTA